ATATATCAAAATGATAACTCTAGGCCTTTCGTGTTGCAATCAACACATCATTAGGCTAATCCGGGGGGGGGGGACATGGACCTGCTCTGCATGGATCAGTAGGCCTGCTGCAGTGTTCCTTCTTTCTTATGTTCTTATGTTCTTATGAGAGAGAGAGAGAGAAGGGAACAGGAAGTGCCTCTAGGCATACCACTGTCCACAGCCAGAAGGATGAATATTATACCATTAGAAAAATCCCACAAGCATTGATATTGTACTAACCTAAACGAAAGTAACGTGGCAATAATAAAAAATTTGGCCATACTTCGCTATGATATCAGTAATTTTACATACATGATTATATTGTCAGTGATAAAGAAGTCACTGGCAATTATGAAGTAGCCATCCACGGGACGAGAACATGTAACGAGGAGACTTCTAAAAGTTATACAAAGGAAATGGGGCTCATTAAAATAAACTCATTTAAAGAGGGAGACATCTGTAATTATAAGGAAGACGGCCATAGTAATTCTACCCACATAATTCTGAGGCAAACTCTTGTTCAACCTTCAGAAACTGCAGGAAAAATAGGCCCTAATTTTTTGGTGTGGCACTATATTTAAGACAGTGTAATGCATTTGTATGAAAGCCCAGTTTTTGGCTGTGTACAACTGCCTCGATTAAAAACGTATCTAATTTGAACGACCTGTCACTGATATTGTATAATGAATGCTTAACTTGTTTAATAATTGCCGATTCTACAATATTCCTTTCAAGCCAAGAGGAACAAGGCAAGATGACTCTTGCTTCCTACCAATTTGCCAGGTTATTACAAGCTCTAATATGGTTGAAAATCATATTCGACTCCTGTACTATACGTACTGAATAACGGTGTTGGGAAATTCTCACTTCTAATGGTTTACCCATCTGTCCCAAATAAGAGACTGCAGCCATTGCAACCACCTCTGTAGACACCACCAGCATGCTATTGGTGTGAATTCTTTATCAGAATGCTTCTAACAGTCCATGAATTTTTAAATACTACTTGTATATTAAATTTTCTTTGAGCATTCGGCAGGATAGATAAATTCTCTTTGTATGGGAGGACCAGCACATTCTTGGTCTGAGGTGTTATCCTAGATTCTGTTTTATAATAAGTTTTCTTAGCTGCCAGCAAGGCAGATTCCACAAACACCTTAGGATACTGCAGGTTCATGCCAGTGTTAAATATTTTCCTAATTTTTTCATATAGGAACTCTGCACTGCACACTTTATAGGCTCTCAGAAACATAGCAGGACGTACACTCCTTTTAACTCTAGTCTCATGGTTGGAATAGTAGTGAATGAATGAGCACATATTGGTGACTTTCCTATATACTGCAAATTTAAACTGTCTATCAACCTGGTGTATCAACATATCTAAGAATGAAAGTTTATATTCCACATCTGGGATGGGACTAAGACGTTAAATCTTGGTAAAAATGTATAATGGACCATATCATTTGGCAAAAGACAGTGGTATCGTAAGGGAGCGGGGTCGGGGGGGCTGCCCCGGGTGACACCATAGGAGTCGAACGAGATTTTCAACCATATTAGAGCTTGTAATAACCCGACAAATTGGCAGGAAGCAAAAGTCATCTTCCCTTGTTCCTCTTAGCTTGAAAGGATTATTGTAGAATCGGCAGTTATTAAGCATGATAAGCATTTATTATACAATATCAGTGACGGGTTGTTGAAATTAGATTCGTTTTTAGTTAAGGCAATAGTACACACTGAGTCGGCCTTAGGAGGTGTGGGGCCCATTTGCGAATAATTTTGGTGGCCCCCATGTACAGAAAGCAATCAATCTGTGCTTAAAAAATGCATGCAAGTTAATAGACTAAACATATGTAAGCTACACTTTAATATAAAATTGCATACATGTTAGCCTACAAGTAACAAACAAAATTTGCCGAAGTTTAAACTCCTGCTAATTTCTGATTCAGTGGACATAATAGCCAAACTGTTCAAACGTTCTTACTGAATTGATGATCTCAAGTAAGTTTTGATCAGTTTCAGCTTGAAAAAACTCCTTTCTCAAGATGCCTTTTTTGTGTGTACTTGACAAGCCAAGAGTAGATTACAATCTAGCACGGGGCCCCCTTAGGCACGGGGCCCAACTGGGAGCAACCTGTCCAAATGGCTTAAGGGCCAGCCCTGAGTACACAGTCAAAAATTGGGCTCTTATACGAATACATTAGACTGTCTTAAATGTAGTGCCACACCGAGGAATTAGGGATTATTTTTCCTGCAGGTTCTTAAGGTTGAACCAGAGTTTGCCTCAGAAATTATGTGGGTTGAATCACTGTGGCTGTCTTCCTTGTAATTACAGATGCCTCCCTCTTTTAGTGAGTTTATTGCAATGAACCCCGTTTCCTATGTATAACTTTTAGAAGTCTCCCCTTTAAATGTTCTTGTTTTCTCGTCCCTTTAAATGGAAACACTTTCCCTTGAATGGTTACTCCATAATTACCAGTGACTTCTATATCACTGACAATATAATCATGTATGTAAAATTACTGATATCATAACGGAGTATGACCAAATGTTTTATTATTGCCACGTTACTTTCGTTTAGGATAGTACAATATCAATGCTTGTGGGATTTCTCTAATGGTATAATATTCACCCTTTTGGCTTTGGGCACTGGTATGCCTAGGGTCACTTCTTGTTCCTCTCTCTCTCTCTCTCTCTCTCTCTCTCTCTCTCTCTCTCTCTCTCTCTCTCTCTCTCTCTCTCTCTCTCTCTCTTCTCTCTCTCTCTCTCTCTCTCTCTCTCCTCTCTCTCTCCTCTCTCTCTCTCTCTCTCTCTCTCTCTCTCTCTCTCTCTCTCTCTCTCTCTCTCTTTCTCTTTCTCTTTCTCTTTCTCTCACTCTCTCTCTCTCTCTCTCTCTCTCTCTCTCTCTCTCTCTCTCCCTCACTCAAGTGAAGACGTCCTTTTGGATCGTACTTCCTTGGACATCCTCCTCTTTTATGCAATTTGCAAGCTCCTGATGATGTGTTGATTGCAACACGAAAGGCCTAGAGCTATCATTCTATTCCCCCCCCTTGGTTGTTTAGCATCCTGTATCGCTTGGTTTGCGATATTTGCAATATATAATATATATATATATATATATAATATATATATATATATATATATATATATATATATATATATATATATATATATATATATATATATATATATATATATATATAATATATATATATATATATATATATATATATATATATATATATACAAAAGGTTACATGTGGTGCATGGTTGTGATGGTGGTCTAGGTTCGTCCTGAAGGCTTGTTGGCAGTGACAAAGTTAAATTGTGATTAGTAAGAGAGTTTATTGCACTCATGGGTGGTTTTATTATCCCAGTATTACCCCAGTGAAGAATGTTATAAAGCAAGACAAAGGCAATAGTTACCCTAATCTTTTAGCTTTATTTTTAGATGGGTGAACTCGTCAGCCAGTGGAATGCCTTAGGCAGATGACCAGAAGCTGTAGCGGCGGATCATCATCTTAGACCAGCGTCAGGAATCACCTATCCTGTTTCCTGACGAATCATTTTCATTTTAAATTGATTACGCGTACCACAGAGTGCAGAGTAGTTAAGGTGTATAATAGCTTGGCTCGCAGCCATAAGATCCAGGGTTCGATTCTCAGGCTGGCAAAATGTATGCTCACGTTCTTCTTACACCACTTTTACCACATACCACATACCCATATGTTGTGACCCGCATGTAGTAACAATAAATGCTATACAAATGTTTTAGAAAGTACAGACGTGTTGGAAATATGAAAGTGTTGTGTAAAACGTACCTGTGCACTGTCAACTCCTCAAGGGAGGTTCCTTGATGCTGGTAAGGGGCTCTTGATCTAGGGAACTGGATCTGTGCTCCGGTTCCCTGAATGGAGCCTGAATACCTTCCATCCCCCCCCCCCACACAGGAGCTGTATAATCCCTACGGGTTTAGCGTTCCCCGTGATAATAACAGTGTGTAGTGTTGTGCACCTAGTGATGTTACACAAATAACCCACATACATAGAAGGGAGCTCTCTTCCCTTCACACTTCTGTGTGACTAGTTAATAGTCCAAGACGGACCAAAACGTTGTCATAAGAGGGATTCTCAGGTTCCTGCACGTAAAAGCGCACTCCCAATTTGGGAATACAATTGATAAATTGGAACCTACACAGCACAATAACAACAGCAACATTGAAAGTTCAATAATATTAGCAAATTAATACCGATATATTTGAGGCACACTGGCAGTGGCTGGATGTTAATTGTTAACTAAACGTACATCCAAGATAGTTTAGGTTTAATTACCTTAAACGTACGACTCGGTGAGTACGACTACCTTCATGTAGATAGGAAACACCTGTATATACAGTAGCCAAAATTTATCCAATATAAAGACATCATTTGAGCTATTAAAATTTACTGGAAATATGTCCACATGTAACACAGAACATTTTTGTATTCTACAACGCAATGGAAATATAAACACATATGCAGTATAATGTGATCCTTTATTGACTACGTTTCGCCCACACAGTGGGCTTTTTCAAGTCACAAACAGATCTGTCTGTGACTTGAAAAAGCCCACTGTGTGGGCGAAACGTAGTCAATAAAGGATCACATTATACTGCATATGTGTTTATATTTCCATTGTGTCGGTATTTTATACCGTTTATTTCCATTCTACAACGCATTTTATCATCTTTTTTTTATTTTCTGATCAGTGGTATGAACAAATAAAATTTAAAAAATATATATAAAATAGTCACTGCTTCGCATTTCAAAATTAAAATTCGCAAAGGAAACAAGCAAAAATGACAACGTTGAAAAAAAAAGTCTTATCACTCAAAATATTGCAGTTTGTTAATGGAGTATTTTAAAATAAAAGTTAATGTAAGATGTTGTCAGTTTTCTTGTAATGTGGAAAATATGGGCGGATTCGAATGTGGATCTCTGCTAAGCTTGGCGTGGGTTGTGACGGATGGGCGGTGATGCGTTATTTTATTGCATTTTCACGTCTCTTACGGCCGAGAAGCGGAAATATGGTGAAAAGGTTCTTCAGGAAGTCAGAATGGGAGAACCTGTCGTCCATAGAGCACACACGCTGCTACAATGTCTACAGGAACTACAAGATGTTGAACCAACTAGGTAAGACCAGATGCTGTCCTGGGGTCTCCTCTCCCCTCTTGGTTTAGCGCTTCTTTTTTTATTATAATAATAATAATAATAATCCTCTCCCCTCCATTGTGGTCAAAGGATCTTGATCCATGGAACCGGAACTGCCCTTGCAGTTCCCTGGATCAAGACTGATTTGATTCCCATTCTTCACATTGTATGACTCGTGTGGATTTAGTGCTTCCCGTGAATGTAATCGATCATGTTTTTTTTTCCAGGCTAAAAATGCATAGATTTTTTTTATCGTAAATTATTGCATTTGTAGGGGCGCTAATCCCGTAAGGGTGTCATACAGCACCGGAGGAATGGGAGACATTCAGGTTCGATCCAAGGAAGGGGAGGTCAGGCTCATTTTCCTGGATCAAGAACCCCTCACCGTTGGTGAGGATCTTGATCCGCTTAGTGAGGGGATCTTGATCCGCTTAGTGAGGGGCTCTTGATCCGCTTGGTGAGGGGCTCTTGATCCACTTGGTGAGGGGATCTTGATCCGCTTGGTGAGGGGATCTTCATCCGCTTGGTGAGGGGATCTTGATTAGCTTGGTGAGGGGCTCTTGATCCGCTTGGTGAGGGGATCTTGATCCGCTTGGTGAGGGGCTCTTGATCCGCTTGGTAAGGGGATCTTGATCCGCTTGGTGAGGGGATCTTGATCCGCTTGGTGAGGGGATCTTGATCCTCTTCTTGAGGGGCTCTGTAACTCATAAGCTGGAATCGTCAGGCAGTTTCAAGAGGGTTCCTATATGCTGGTGAAAGGCTCCTCATCCTAGGAATTGGAGCCACTCTCCCTTTCGGATCAATCTTGATTGTCTGCCATTCCTCAGGCTCTGTACATCTCTTATGGGTTTAGCGTTGCCTCATGAAAAATCTTCCTGTATTTGGATCGAGAAACTAATCATGCAGTCACTAGGTTTCCCGTCTTGACAAATATATGTATAACCAAACGAAATCCAGAATATAATTTATCTTTATGAAATAGTGAAGGACCGATCTCTTCAAGAGAGGTACCTTGATAATAATAATAATAATATCTTTAGTTCTACAAGTACGTGTACAAGGTATACAGTCATAGCTAACATCAAAGCCGCTTGTTATGCTGAGCATTTCCCGCAAATTAGGTCACTTTTGTCCCAGGATGCGACCCACACCAGTCCACAAACACCCAGGTACCCATTTCATACTGATAGCTGAACAGGGACAGCAGGTGTCTTACTGAAACACGTCCCTAATGTTTTCCAGCCGCACCGGAGATTCGAACTCCGGACCTCAGTGTGTGAGCTGAGTGCGCTAGTAATCTAGCTACGGGACTCATGAGCCAAGGAACTGGATTTGAAAGGATCCCTCAAGGGAGGTTCCTTGACGCTGGTAAGGGGCTCTTGATCTAGGGAATTGGATCTGCGCTCCAGTTCCCTGAATTAAGCCTGAATACCTTCCATCCCCCCGCAGGCGCTGTATAATCCTACGGGTTTAGCGCTTCCCCGTGATTATAATAATTCTAATGGACATAAAAGGAATAACAAGTCACAATACCATGGCTGGAACAACTCGGATAACTCTCACTTAAACTTACGACAGTATTTCTGTTCGTCTTGGACCATCGTCAGATCCAGGACGTTGTATAACTCGTACGTATCTAGCGCTTTCCCATGGCTAAAATAAAAATGAGTAAAGAACTAATATCAGTGGGGATGAAATTAGCTTTGATGAGAAGAAGTAATCAGTAACTGAAATCTGAGATGCCATTACAAACTTTCAACTGAATCACTGCCTATAATGGGAGTTCCTTGATGCCGTGGAAGGGTTCTTGTTCCAAGAAATTGGAACTACCTTCCATCCTTGGATCGAATCTGATTGCCTCCCGTTCCCTAGGCGTTGCATGACCCCAGCAGGTTTAACGCTTACTGTGGATGTAATAATAATTATCAGCTCCCTTCAAGAAAGGTTCCTTGATGCCGACGAGGGGCTTTTGATGCAAAAGCCCCTTTCTTCCCCTTCACTGGATTGTACTTGATTGCCTCCCATTCCCCCAGTCATCTATGACCCCTACTGGTTTATTACCCGCAGTTAAATATAATAATAATGATGATCAGCTGGATTTATAGATACAGATTCTGCACAGTATTTTACGCCGAGCTTCTGCCTTAATTAAGAGAACACAGTTTCAAATCGCTCATAGTATTTTGTATTTCGAGAGAGAGAAATTTATCCGTTAATTTTGGTTGTAGCTTCACGTTCTTTGAAATAACCCCCTCAAGGAAGGTTCCTTGATGTTGGTGAGGGGCTCTTGATTAGGGAATTGGATCTGTGCTCCAGTTCCCCGAATTAAGCCAGAATGCCTTCCACATCCCCCCCAGGCGCTGTATAATCCTCCGGGTTTAGCGCTTCCCCTTGATTATAATAATAATAATAATAATTTGAAATAACGCTTGCTTAGTTCATGTTTCAAACCATTTTTTTAAGTGGCAGGCGGGGATTTTTTTTTTTTTTTGTGGGAGTATAACTCCAATTCCTTGAATCAAGATCCTCTCACAACATCAAGTCGCATCCCTTGAAGGGAGGACTTTTTTTTTTAAAGAACCTCTTGGCTACTTACTATCTCATTTCTGAATTTATGTTGGCCTTAACGGCCCTTCCATATTTATTTTTTACAATATCTAACCTCTCGATTTTTTTTTATTTCATTAGTTTTCCCGCATCCTCATTTTAATTCAGCTTTATCCCTTGTTCATAATTTCTTCCTGCTTGTCCTGACGCTCCTCCAGTTTTGCCATTAACCTAACATTTTCTTCACAAAACCCTTTTAAATTCTTATAAGATGGTTTGCAGTGAAAAGTCATGAAGTACATATAACAATTAATAACTGCCCATGATCATTGTTTATGACTGTAAATACAAATGGACAAATAACCTGCATATAGGAGAATGAAATTTATGACGACGTTTCGGTCCTACTTGGACTACGGTTAATGGCCTAAGTCGGACCGAAACGTCGTCATAAGTTCCGTTCTCAAGTGTGCGGGTTATTTTTTGTATTCCAGTTACGGTAGTGTACCTTTTTATTCTTTAAATACAAGTGTGTGAGCATGTGTTTTCTCAATGGCAACTAACAATAGTTTCAAAGATACAATTATGTCAGGAGAGAAAGCCGTAGGAAATCTTCATGGTATATTTGTTGTAGATTATATCCCATACAGATCTCATTATCTTTCTCACTTGCCAAAATTATAATTCAACTCAACCCTTTTTTCTAAGATATAATTATAATGATCTGCAACGGTGGCATACTGTAAGGTTTAGTTATGTCCACTCAGTCACCTATTAGGTACAGAACAAAGGAATAGAGTTCAAACAATTTTTTTTTTTTTGGCTGGTTTTTAATGGTTGATATTATACAATTTTCTAAGTTGAACATCAAAATGGTATACAATACCGACAGGTTGGTAGGTAAGACACAGGCAACAGTTAGACAGTTTCCTAACTGTTGCCTATGTGTCTTACCTACCAGAATTTTCTAATTTAACAACTATAGAGTTTTGGAAGAAACACTAGTGCGACTGTAATCTAATTACTCTATGATAATTGTAATTATATTTACTTTGTAAAGTGAGTAATGAGAGTTCTTATCCGACAGGCTTGGAAACTAGGCCGCCAGACTTCGTACTTAGGTACAATAATCGCCAGACACAGCGACAAGAAAGGCATCAGAAAAGACAAGAAAGGCATCAGAAAAGACAAGAGAGGCATCAGAGAAGACAAGAGAGATCAGAAAAAACACAAAGACCTGAGAGGTAAGCTGTGTGATTTAATGCTTTTTATTAAGTACACATATTACAGGGTATAAAAACTCGTTGTAAAAAGACGTAAATGATGTAATCAAGAGACGTGATGAGACGCTGTTTCGCTGACACTCAGAGGTTTATCCAGAATTGTTAAAGCTCAGTCCTAACTTCGGCTTGTTGCCCCGGTCACCGTCTGTATGTATTATAGTTTCTCTCTTTTATATAGCTTGTCTCTTATGTGGGTTTGAGAGTGACCAGTATTTACTATAGCAGTAAGTTTTTTATTTAATTTCTGAGATGATTACCTATAAAACGTGATTACTATATGAAATAATTGTAGGGTCTTTATGATGTAAAAAAAAAAAACTGCCTAGTGGGATTTGACAAAGACCCGTTGTGACCTCTGTAATCCTCAATTTTTGTGCTGCCGCTCATTGGATGTGCATGTGGTGCACAATAAACTAGTCACTCAGGCAGCACAGAGGAATCATTGATGTGACTGCTGGACCAGCAAGTTTACTTACACACTGGCCCACCTAACACTGTTATTAAGTACCCGTGTATTAGCAGACTGCTGTCGATAGCAACGAAGGGAAAATTTGCTATGCAAACGTGTCATACATGTGACCTACAGGAAGTTCCGGGCAAACTGCTAATTGTGTTAAACTAGACCTCTGGAAGTAATTAAATGTTCGGTACAAATTAACAGTGTGTTGCAATGTAATAGTGCAAATTATGAAAATAGATATAACAGGGGCATCAAGAAACTCGACAGGCGGTGCAGCATCCCCCAGTGAAAAGCAGGGGTGCCATGAGTACACAAAGAGACAACACAATAAGTGTAAGGGGCCCAAGACTGTTCAACTTCCTCCCAGCATACGTAAGGGAAATTACCATATGACCCCAGACCCTTAGCTGTCCTCAAGAGGGAAATGGAGTCAGGCATCTAAAGTCAGTACCTGACCAGCCTACTGTGGTTCGTAAGTCGGTTTGCGTGCAGCCAGCAGTAGCGCCTGGTTGATTAGGCCCTGATCCACCACGAGGCCTGGTTATGGACGGGGCCGTGGGGTCGATGACCCTCGGAACACCCTCCAGGTAAACGTGCCCAACGTTTCCACCCATTCCGGGGATCGAGCCACGGATACTCAGTATGTGAGTTGAGTGTGTTATCAACTGAGCCACGGGACACAATCTGATACCTAGGTGTTAGCTGAATTTGTTTTAGGGGAGGGAAGGGCCAAAGTAACCAATAGAAACAACACTGGACTTCTATGCTGGTCTTGGTAGAGTGGATGTCTCACTCTTCCCCTTATTAAAGAATCAGTGGCAAGTTTTTTAGTATTTTCTCCCCCGAGACGTTTGTACTCAGCGTCAGCCCTCGAGGCAGTTGGTTGGGTGTCATACATTAGTTATAGGTCTGGGGAAAGCCTGAGGTGTGTGGGTGCCTGGCTCTTCTGGAGTTATAAGTAAGATTATTCAGGTATACACAAATACAGTTACGTAGATTATCATACATAGCAGCATATGCACAAATAACCCGCACATAGAGGAGAGGAGCTTACGACGACGTTTCGGTCCGACTCGGACCATGTGTAGAGAGCCTAGAATAACCCAAAAAAGTCAAAGTGACTTACTTCCATTGGGGTCCTTTTATAACTATATTAACTATCAAGGAGATACATTCTTACAATAATATAAGAGAGCATACTCAGATAATAAGGAAATTCTTAATTATTTTACATTTGTGTTAGCTAAAACAAAATAAAAATCATTCTCACCTTCAGTTTGTCCACATTCATTAGATACCTTTTGGTTTTTTCTTGTTAAATTGTGTTCTGCTATGACTGGCTTTGCTTCGACAGGTATTATCTGACCATTTCTACATTTATTACTATTACATAAAAGGGGTTTGAAGAAGTTTGGCCCTGACGTGGACAAGAAAGTTAGTTCCTTCTCATAGTACCATGATTACTTTGGTTCCCAAGAAGATAATTGGAACACGGGTATGTAACAAATATGAGGTATAAGAAGCTTGTAATTGAATTGTACAGGTACGGAGTCAGCGTGTGTAATGTTAGGCAATGGGTGGTAGTAAGTGTGCTTGGAATATTTAGTAATGGAGGCGCAAGTCAATACATAGAATAGAGAATAGCAACGGAGAGCCTAAGACCAACAACTGGTGGCCCCAAAACGAGAGTGTTGAAATTAATCACCCCATAACCAGTGAGGTACAAAAATTACGCAAGGTTCTAATTGGTCAGGACTTGCCATGATTTGATGACAGATTAAGGCTATGAACTCCATTCGGATAACTCACCATTTAAAGTAACCCAACTACAGGCTATGACATACGTGTTGGTCACATCCTCAAGTACCAAAGTTTACATACTCAGAGATATTGTTCTAGGCCCCACAGAGTTGGTATGCTGAGCAATAAAAGTTAAATAAACTCCAAGACAAGTCAAAACAAAGAACTTCGTTGGCTCCTTCACAACCCAGACAGCAGAATTTGGTGGCCCACTCCAACCCAGCCAAGACTGTTGTGCCCTCATGTGACAAACAAGAACTTTGGTCCCATCGAGCCCCAACAAAACATTGTCTAACTGTAATGAAAATTCTTGTGCCGACAGCAATTAAAACGACTTTCTCTCTAATAAATTCCCTAATGAGATTCTCCATTTATCCTAGAAAAGTTTTTTTTATTTTTTTTTTTTTTTTTTTTTTTTTTTTTTTTTTTTTTTCCAGCAATAAGTATTTCATGAACAGGCCTTCGACGAAAAGTGCTATTTTGAAGGGTACATGAATAAAGGCATGTCAGGTGGAGTAAATATTCCTAGTCACACTTACTTTGAGCAGGCACAACTAAATTTTTTTTTCTCATTCTAACAGGTTAAGGGCTCTTGATCAAAGGAACTGGAGCAACCCCTCCTTTTCATTGAATCACAGGTTTAGTGTTTTTCCATTTTAATAATATTAATTCTAAATGACTTAATGGTTTTGCCTTTTTAGAGGTAATAATTTGACCTAATTTAGAAATATCCCATGAAAGGAGGAAGAGGAGGGGTACCATAATGCTGGTGAAAACTCCCTTCCCTTCCCTTCCCTTCGTTGGATCAAAGCTGATGGCCTCCTATTCCTCAAGTGCTGAATGACCCTTATGGGTTTAGCACATCCCATTGAGTAAAAACTAGAAGCTGTGTATCTCAACACTTTGAGATAGATTCCTTTTACAGTTATTTGATGAAGGTATGCCTAGTTGCTGGTGAAGGCTCGTGATCCAAGGTAATGGCACTTCTTTCAAATTCATTGGATAAAGTTCTTACCTCAAGTGTTTATGTAGTGTAGAAAAAGCATATATAGGTACAGTTCAGGACATTTATTAAAGGGAAACACTGCCCAAGAAGTGGCATCATTTGTCTACTACTGGCACTCTAGGCAAAATGTAGTAATAAGTTTACTCAGGATACAAAATACAGTTACATAGATTTGATACAAAGCAGCTATTGTAAGTCCTAGGATAACCCAAAAAAGTCAGACAATGTGACTTATTTGCATTGGGGTCCTTTTATGGTATTATTATAATATAAAGGTTATAATATCTTATTATTATTCTATAATGAAGATAACATCTTTTTATCATACGAGGGTCATTAAGACTATCTACAATACGAGGGTCATTACTAGGAATAAGGTAAAATTACACATGTGTTAGCTAAAAAAAATAAAAAATCATTCCCCTCCTTTCTGTAGCTACATTCATCAGACACCTTTTGGCTCCCTTCTTGAACTGGTTCATGCTATGACTGGCTTTGACATGTGCGGGCAGTCTGTTCCATTTCTTTATTGCTGTACAATAAAAGGTGTTTGAAGCCTGGCCACTGACTGTGGGTACTACAAAGTTGTGCTCTCTCCCCCTAGTACTATGATTGCCTTGACAAAATTGGCAGCAAGATATTCTGGACACTGTTTGTGAGCAATTTTATAAGTATGATTTAGCTTCAGTTGTTTTACTCTGTCTTCAACATTCAGCATATCTAACTGCTGTAATTCATCCTGGCCTACATGTTCTCTTGGACCCAGTTCCAGGATGAATCTTACCATTTTGTTCTTGGTGATTTGCAGTCTATCTTTCAGTTTTTTTGTCAAGGCAGAGTACCATGAAGAGCAAGCATAATCCATATTAACTTTAATAAATGTTTTGAACTGTACACAAGTATCCTTTTCCTGAGTTTATTGGTACCATGCCACTTACAGCTGTATATTGGATTTCATCATGCCCTGCTGCTTTGCAGAAGTTGCTTGTTTATTTTCATGGTATAATACTTACTATTTTGTGTTGTAGTCATTAAATATGTTATGCAAGATTTATTTATATAAAATTTTTATCGGACAAAGATTTAAGCCATTTTTTTTCTTTACAGAAGCTTGCAGAGGTGCAGTAAGAAAGGAATTACAAACAAGACAACAGCCAAAAGAAGACATACTTTAAAGCACATAATGAAACACAACTCTAATTGTTAGTCCACCATAGTTCTCTCATTGAATCAGTCATTTATCTTGTAACCTCTTTATCTTTATTTCTAGTTAAAATCACTACTTCTCTTTTCAGTTATATCAGTACGTGTAGTAATTTTTTACCTAAGCTACTCTGCTGTAAAAGGTCACAAATATCTATGTATAACTGCATCCTTATTGTGACTTCAAATATGAGATTAACACTAGTTACGTTGTGGTTTAACCCTTTGAGGGTCGGTGCCGTAGATCTACGGCTATACGTTGAGGGTCCAAACCGTAGATCTACGCCATGAGCTCAGCTCACTTTGATAAACTGTGAGCAGTAAATTTGGGCCTAGATATGAGAGAATACATCTATGTGGTATGTGTGCACCTCATAAAACAAATCCTGCAGCACACAGTGCATAATGAGAGAAAAAAAACTGAGACCATAATTTTCGATTAAAACAGCAACTTTGCAGTGTTTTTTTGTATGTTTTTTATAGTTGTATTTGCGATTTCTTGGTCTCATTTGATAGAATGGAAGATATATTACAGAAATAGAGATGATTTTGATTGGTTTTAGTAATGGAAATGGGTTGAAACTGAGCTCAAAATAGCAGAAATGTTAAATTTTTGCTGCTGTTCAAGAGTAAACAAATGATCCCACACGTCTAATACACGCCAGCTGGTGGGTCTAATATATGTTCACAAATGTGGTGATATTATTTATACAATTACATGTATTACAGTATTACATAACAGTAACTTATATTTTTTGGTTTGAATAAAAACTCATTATGTGATTAAAAAATCAAAATGGAATTCATTTGTAAAATGAGTGAACAGAAGAAATGTTAGTTTAGTTCCAGGAATTCCTGCATTGTTTATTCTGGACCCTATTTTGAAATTAGAATATTTTAAACTTTGCATTAAATTGGCCAAATTACCAATTTCTGATTTCTTGTGCTCAATCTATAGAATAGAAGTAATACTAGTGAAATAACTAAGAATTTAGTAGACTGGAATAATATAATTGGCCTGAAATGGGAGTCAAAGTCGGCAAAATCGCCTATGCATAAATATCACTGACACATCAAAATTCGCAAGAGCATAATTTCATCAATTTTCCATCAAATTTCGTACTTTTTGTTTTATTACCTTCAGAAAAAGATTCTCTACCATTTCATAAGAAAAAAATAACAAAATTATTTTTTGAAAATTCTTGGACACTGGTGCGCACTTTGAAATTTGGCCTTTGGACCCTGAAAGGGTTAAAAAAGATACATGAGCTAACAGTAAAACATATTTATTGTAAAATGTTTTGATACTGGGACCTTGATCACTTCAGGGTCCCAAGACCGAAACATTTTCTAATAAATATGTTCTAGCATTGGCTCACGTTGTCCTTTTAAACTTGTTGGTATCAGTTGTGTTTATTCCACTGGTTACGTAAGTGAAAACAGCAGTTGCCTCCTGGTACTATACTAATGCACATGCCTGGAAAGAAAGGGTTTGAGTAAATTTTTATTTATATTTCGTATGCATTAAAAATTTTCTATAATGTTATATAGAGATTATATAAAAATTAACGTAGGATAACCCAGTATAGTCAAGCAACATGACTTATTTCTATTCATATTGGGGTCCTAGTGGTATATGCCATAGTTACAGTGATATAGTACTGTAGTTAGGCATATTTACATAACCATTACCTTTATTAACATTAATAATAATAATATAAATGACTATTGGTTTAGGGCACATTTCATACTAAGAATACAAGAAGTTATTCTACTTCCTTTCTTCCATCTTCATTCATTAGATATTCTTGAACCATTTGTAAATTGACTTCTGCTATATTTATGTTGTCTTCTTTGGGTCACCCTGCCTTGGTGGGTGATGGCCATTGCATTAAAAAAATTAAATTGTTATATATTTCTTTGTTTAGGTTCCATGCACCACTAATAGGTATAACACCCTGTTGGTATAACCTCTGTAACATCAATAAAAGACTTGGATCATATTTTACCCAATAAGTCAGTGGTTTGTATTCTGCTCACCTTTGCTCTCTTCACTGTTCACTGCACAATCTGCCAGCTCTCTCAACAACTTAGAGAACACCAGTGGTTTATGTGGACATTCAACTTGCTCCTTTATCTTGGGGAACAGTGATTAACATTCCCATTGCTTGACACACTTTTAATCGAATTTTAAGTCACATAGATAAGTCATAGTTTTAGAATGCTCATTATGTTCTGCATAAAAAAATGCTTTACATAATCAGGATGGTTTGTTCAGTGTGTTTAGCTGAATCTGCAGTGGATTTCAGTGATGACTTATATTCTCTGTGCCACAAGCTGGCACAGAGACTCCTTTTGCCTTATTTAAACATCTTATGGGACATTGACTAAAGTCAATTTTCAGTTTACTAGTATTGTACAGATGAACTATTATATACACCTTATTGGCATTCAAGATCCTGGTGATATTACTTCTGGTAAAGGATCCTTGAAGTTTCATTAATTACTGATGAACACTTACCAAGCCTAGCCTTCCTTGATTTCTGTTCAAGAAGCAATAGACTTTTTTTCCAACTGGGTTTGTTTTTCCAGACACTTTCTTAAGTTTACTGCCTGCTCACTCCACAAGTGTCTATGGCCCACTTCAAAGTGACTTGGCCTCCTCACAGGTTTGGTCTACCCTCATTTTCCTCATATGGTTATCTCCAACACTTGTTTCCATACTTTCTTTGCTACTTTTGCACCAGGATTCAGATGGACTTCTTTTAAAAACAAATTTTGAAGAAAATGCACATTCAATTTAGGAATGTTCTCAGCCCTTCTTTTAATGGGAATCTGAGGATTCAACATTTCTGCTAATACTCATCCATCACTGAGGATACATTTTCACAGTAACTTAATTCTATTGTTGGGTTACATTACTAGGAGCTGAAAACCTCATCTTTTCTGATAACTCTGTTGTTGATGTAGAAGGTTATATCCAACAACCTTATTTTATGGCTGGGAGCTGTAGTGGGTTGATGTCTGCAAGAGAACCCTCTCATCCAGTTCCTTCAGTGTGGTTTATCAGGTGGTCAGGATCACTGTGAAGTTTATGGGCTCCATAGGCTTCACTAGGAGGGAAGTAGCATCTCTTTCAGGGGCAGATCATGAAGGTCATCAGAGGGAGGCTAAAAGCACTTTGATCAACTTTGATAGCTTTCAACAACTCTCTTGCTCTGTCAGTTACATAGTCTCACAGTAAAGGGATTATTACTGTAAGGCATGGCCCTTGTAGCTACTGCTTCTCATCTTCATAACCCTTTCATGGGGAGTGCTTTAATATTGGTAATGGGCTCTGATCCAAGGAATTGGACCTACCCTTCCCCTGAAGAGAAGCAACATAATGCTTGTACAAGGAAGGACTCTTGATCCAAAGATTTAGAAATTTTCCTGATGTCAATACTTGCACAGTGTTGTATGACCCTTGTGGGTTTAATGCTTAGCTATAATTGTAATAATGATGATAATTCAGCACTAGTAAAAATGGTGTATCAGTGAAACACCATTCCCATCCCTGGCAACACACCCCCCACTCTTCATAGATCTAAACTTACTCCCTGTTCAGAACATCCACACTTACTACTGTGCAATCTATATCTACAGGACCTTAAATTCCAATATTAACCTTGACCTAAAATGCTTTCTTGATAGTTGTGACAGGATCCACAGGCATAACACCAGACACAAACATCTCTATGACATTCCCCGTGTTCGACTAAACCTTTACAAAAATTCAATGTATTTCAAAAGACCTAAAATCTGGAACACCCTACCTGAAAACTCTAGAACTGCAGACACATTCATCACTTTCAAAACTACAGTTAGAAAACATCTTATCTCCCTGATCCACCCCGACAACTAACTACATGATAACCACCTGGTGGTTCACAATTACACTCACTCACCCACTGGCTATAAACCCAGAAATACTAATCTTAATCTTAAAATAATAAATCCTAACTAGTCATAAGTTTGCCTATGATACTCCAATATAGACACTTTGTATTGTGCCAAAACAAAAGCATTCACATTGCTGAACTCACAAATTATGATGTAATCACTTAGCCTTAATACCATAATCTGCAAGGATCTAATGTTAAGAATTAATCTAAGTCTGCTCGAAATGCCTAGCCAGGCTAGGTGTCCTAGTGGCCCCCTCGGTAATTAGTATTTTATAACATGTAAACCACACAATACCCAAAACCTGTAAACCCCACATTGTAACCCTTATAGAGAATAAACTTGAATTGAATTGAATATACAAAACTGACAAGATGATGAACTGGACACATGGCAACATCTGGATATCTTTATTTTCTAGTCATTTTGCCAGCCAGTGGCATTATTAGTACAATACGGGGACATAAACAAAAGACTAGAAGAAGAGGCAATCAGTCCCTCAACCTCATAGAATATACAAAAGATGGTAGAAGATGAAGTAATCAGTCCCTCAGCCTAGGAGCAGGTGTTAGGTACTGTAGTATTGATAAATCTGAAGCACAAGCAGGAAGATGGGCACTTATACTGGAATCAGATGAGATGCAGCAGATGAAAGCCTTGTCACTGGTAGATGGGACCCACCAGTGGAAGTACGTCATGCCCAAGAGCTGAGCCAGAGGTTCAGCAAGTAGGTTTACCTGGAGAGAGTTCTGGGGGTCAATGCCCCCTCGGCCCGGTCTGTGACCAGGCCTCATGGTGGCCCGGCTGGTCAGGTTATGGAGATGTAATCTGTACCAAGATTCCATGATGTCTGTGTGTGACAAGTAGTATGTCAGTGGTATACAATACCAACAAGAGGCCTATACAGTACTTCAAATTCATCAAGACTACAGTGCTCAACACCTGCTCCTAGGCTGAGAGACTGATTACCTCATCCTCTACTATCTTCTGTATATAATTCTGACAGGGTGAGGGATTGATTACCTCCTAGTCTACAGTCTTTTGCTTTTGTCCCTTATTGAATTGGTACCTCTGTAAGTGTGCTCAAATTATAAATAAATAAATAAATAAAATAAATAAAGCCACTAGTCGGTGAAACATCTACAAAATAAAGATGCCCAGATGTTGCACATTCTAATTCATCACTAGTAAATAATAATAATACTCAATATTTCTACAAGTACATGTATGACATATACAAGCCTAGCTGACATCAGTGAATTACTGTATAGAAAGCCCTTTGTTATGCAAAGCATTTAGGGCAAATTAGGTCAGTTTTGACCCAAGTGTGTGACCAACACCAGTCAGCTAACACCCAAGTACCCATTTTACTGTTAGGTGAACAGGACAGCAGGTTTCTTAAGGAAACACGTCCTAATATTTCCACTTGTACCAGGACTCGAACCATGGACCTCTGTGTGTGTGTGCAGAGCTTAAGGTTTATTTCATTTGAATTATTATGTCTGCACTTGTGGCAAAACAGCTATTAAATGAGTGATGGGGAATGCATTTCCTTTTTTATTTTGGGTCACTCTACCTCTGTGAGAGACAGCCAATGTGTTGAATAAAATGTTGAAATTGTTTAGCCAATAAAATTAAAAAAACATGGAAATTCTCCTCTTCCAGTTTCATAGGAAAGTTAACATATGGTTGTTACAGTTGGGGTAGGCAGTTCAGAATTCCATTAATAAATAAGAATTAATTGAACCCTCAGTTATCTTACATGAACATCATTACAGTTAATAGGTCATCTTACTTATCATGATCCAGATTTATTTCTAGTCATAGTATGAGCTGTCAGTATCCAAGATACTGCATAGTCAGATTGCAGTATCTCAACCTCTAATACTGGATGCACCCTCTTTTAAACACTATTTTTGTGATTTATTACTTATCATCATCATTACTATTTACAGGCTCGCCAGTGTTAAAAAAGGATGAAATTAAAGAGTCTGGAATATTAGAGGCCAGGAATGGAATGGATCAAGAAAACTGCAGGTATGATATGAAGGATCAAGAAGGGACAGTACAAGAAGCATGTCCTCCCATTAAAGCTGAGTGTAAAGCTCAGATCCAAAGTAGTAAAATTAACTTCAGTCAGAATGAGGTGAAATGTGAAAAAAGTATCACTGCTACATATTTTAAGTGCTTCAATGGGAGGGACATGAGTTTTGAAGACTGTGATGTGAAAAGCAATCAGACAAAGGCAAATTTTAATGAGTGCTCCTCTATAAATATTTCCAAGTGCTTGCCTGATGGTAAACTGAAGCACAAGGATTCCAGAGTGGAGAAGAGTCATGGTAAGCTGAAGAGTAAAGGTTTCAAATGTTATGTTTGTGGGCATAAGATTTTTAATAAATGGAATTTTATTGCACATTTTAAGACTCACATGGACAAGAAGCATTTTGGATGTGATGAGTGTGGTCAAAAGTTTTCAAAGTTCAGTTATTTGCGTAAACACTTGTTGTGCGTCACTGCTGAAACAACTGATGGTAGATATAAATGCTCTTATTGTAATCACACATTTTTACGAGACAGCAATCGGAAAAATCACGAGCTCATTCACAGCCAGACCGAGATGGTGCCATGTTGTCTTTGTGAACTACAGTTCTCAAATGTGAAATCTGTTAGGAACCATGCTCAGAAGGTTCATTCGAAGGATAAATGCTTTAAATGTCTTCTATGTGGGGCAAGTTATTATAATGCAGGCCATTTAAAAAGGCATTTAAAGGAAATTTCTATGGATCTCCCTTATTACTGTTCAACCTGTAGTCATAAATATGCAACTGCAGGGGGTTTGAAGAGACATAACTGTAACACTGGCAATCTGAAGTCATTTTCTTGTCCATATTGTTTAACAATATTTAGCAATAGAAGTCATCTTAAAAGACATGTTGCTAATCGTAGAAAAGTTAAGCAATATCAGTGTTCTGATTGTAAAATGGAATTTCTTTACCTTGGAGATCTCAGAAGGCACCAGGAAGTGCATAACAAAGACAGGCCATTCAAATGTTCTCAGTGTAGACATTCATTTGATAGCATAGGGCGTCTTCATGGCCATGAAAGAATGCATACTGAAAGGGGTTGGAAGTGTATGCCATGTGGTGAAACTTTCAAGAAAAAATCCTATTTAAAAACCCACGAGCAAATTCACTCTGGAGCATCACTAAATCTTGTGGAAATTGGAGGTAATAAAAGAGATCACATGCAAGGCTTCCAGCAACTTAGTTTAACAAAAGAGTTAAGAAGGATTAGATTTATGAGCCCCAAGAAAAAGGATTTCCATCAAACTCTCACTCACGAAGAGTCACAAATTTGGCAAGAGTATCAGAATCATGAGACAGCATCTCTTCATAATTTTATGATTACCAAAGACACTTCTTCACATTTTTCCTCTAACAGAATCAAATGTACTCAGAAATCACAACTAGTGCATGCATCTAATAATTCCACACATAATTTACATTTATATCTCCAGTCACAGCAACATGGCAGTAGCTGTAAGACAGAAAGTGACTCTGAAATTATTGATCCCGTGGGTTACAGTAATTTAGATGATACTCAAGCAAGAGACAGTTTTATTCAGGGGGTCCACCATAATGAGCAAGCACCTGTCCAGCCATCATTTTATACATCAAATCCGAGTAGATGCATTGATGAGCATCGACAAGACAAACATGACAAAGAATCTGCATGTGATTTATCCCCTTTTTTAAACTTCAGTTCATGTTCCTTTCAAGAAAAGTTGCCACATTCTGCCTCTTCTGTTCAAAGTTATAAACCTTCTAAACATAGGCAGTGTACAGTGTGCAATATTGAAATTTCTTGTCCATCTAATTTCGTAAGACATATGCAACTTCATACAGGCATTAGATTACATGAATGTCAAGTTTGCAAGACAAAATTTACTCGTAGCGATAATCTTTCTAGACACATGGAACGATCTCACAATAAACAAGAAAATTTAACAGCTATGGGATAGTGTCGACATTTTTGTATTGCTGTTTAAATTGCATATTTTCTAAAAGTGCACAAATCCAGTCTTGCTAAGCAGTGAATTGTGTGTTTTATTGGATTAAGCCCTAAAGGCTTTGTCTAGGTGGAGTGTTCAATTAATTATAGTCATCTTGACCCTGATCCTCTTATGATAGGTTCCTTGATGTTGGTGTGGGGCTTCTGGTGCAACAGATTGGTCTTGTCCTTCCCACTCCTTAAGTGTATCTGATTACATTGTGTTTCCTAGGCACTGCACAACCCCTATGAGTTTAGTGCTTTCCCCTAAATTAATAATAATGTAATAATCTTATCCCTAATTTGGGTAAGCCATACCATATTTTATACCATATTGGTTATTATTAATCAGCTAATGATTTTTTTTATTTTCATCACTTCTACTACACCACAAAAAAGGCATTCTTGGTACTGTACTTGTGATTAGAGAGCTTGACCAATAGTTTAAAAATGCTCCTTACTTAACAGGCTGAAAGCTATTATTTTATTATTTTTTTAACATGTCGGCTGTTTCCCACAAAGGCAGGGTGACCCACAAAGAAAGAAAAGCCCAGAAAGAAAAAAACTTTCATCATCATTCAACACTTTCACCATCATGCATACATAATCACTGTTTTTGCAGAGGCAATCATATACAACAGTTCAGATGTCACTCCAAACAGCCAATATCTCAAACCCCTTCTTTAAAGTGCAGGCTTTGTACTTCCCACTTCCAGGACTCAGATCCAGCTGACCAGTTTCCCTGAATCCCTTCACAAAGTATTACCCTGCTCACACTCCAACAGCTCATCAGGTCCCAGAAACCATTCTTCTCCATTCATTCTTATCTGACATGCTCACACATGCTTGCTGGAAGTCCAAGCCCCTCTCCCACAAAACCTCCCTTAGCCCCTCCCTCCAACCTTTCCTAGGACGACCCCTACCCCGCCTTCCTTCCCTTACAGATTTATACTCTCTCCAAGTCATTCTACTTTGTTCCATCCTCTCTAAATGACCAAACCACCTCAACAATCCCTTTTCAGCATTCTAGCTAATACTTTTAGTAACTCCACACCTCCTCCGAATTTTCACACTACGAATTCTCTGCATGATATTTACACCACACATGCCCTTAGACATGACGTCTTCACTGCCTCCAGCCTCCTCCTTCCTGCAGCATTTACAACAAATGTTGTTATTTCTGAGTGGTACTGTATTTGTACTATATATCTGGTCTTCCAAAAGTAATTGTTAATTGGAGCTGGTGCCACATAAGATTGAGCTTTAATTGTTGCCTTGGCCAAGGAATAAAAAATCTTGTCCTTGCAAAAAATATTATCCCCAATAATCATTTTTAAATACAGCCTCTCCTCACTTAACGACAGAATTCTGTTCCTAAGATCATGTTGGTAAACGAATTTGTCACTAAGCGAGGAGCATACTATAACGGTAGTGGGTTGTGTCAACCATCTTTGATATTGTTTTAATATCACCTTTGCACCATTTATAATATTTCTGGTAAATTTTTAAATGTTTATACTAGTGTACTGTATATTGTATTAAACAGAATAGAGGAAATCAGCTCTGATATACTTTATTTAGGTATGCATACTGGTCAGAGAGCCCGTTGTAAGTCCGAATCTTCGGTAAACGAGTACGTCACTAAGTGAGGAGAGGCTGTATATGACAGTACATTTTATATGCATGTCCAATGAAGAAAGTCAGCTGTTTGGCAATTGTTTGTATATACAGTACTCTATTATAACTTCTTTCTTTCAACAAACCGGCCATATCCCACCAAAGCAGGGTGGCCCAAAAAGAAAAACAAAACTTTCTCTTTTTAACTTGGTAATGTATACAAGAGAAGGGGTTACTAGACCCTTGCTCTTGGCATTTTAGTCTATTATAACTGTATAAGTTAAATTCTTTCTAGAATTACTGTATTAAGTTTAACCAAACATGCTTTAGAGATACTATCGTTGATCAAGGCATAATGCAGTGCTTACATTTAGATGATAGTGGGTTTTTTGTTTAGCATAGTTATATTAACTAATATTGGAAACAAGAGTTTTCAAGCATTTTACATATTTTAAACTAGTCAGTAATGCAGTATCATAGTTCAAATTCTCCACTAGGCTGTCTTATTATTTAAACCACTAAAAATGTGAAAATGCATTTACCACACATTCTGAATCTGCTTTGAACAATGCACTGAATATCCTTTTTTTTTTTTTTTTTTTAAACAAGTCAGCTGTCTCCCACTGAGGCAGGGTGACCCAAAAAGAAAATACTTTCATCATCATTCAACACTTTCACCTCACTCACACATAATCACTGTTTTTGCATCAGTGCTCAGAACACAACAGCTTAGAAGCATATATGTATAAAGATACACAACATATCCCTCCAAACTGCCAATATCCCGAACCCCTCCTTTAGAGTGCAGGCATTGTACTTCCCATTTCCAGGACTCAAGTCTGGCTATATAAAAATAACTGGTTTCCCTGAATCCCTTCACTAAATATTATCCTGCTCACACTCCAACAGATCGTCAGGTCCTGTTATCTGATATTTAACTCTTGTCCTGACCAAAATTATTAATACATACATAGGGAAGTGCTAATCTCGTGAGGATGATGCAATAACTGGGGAATGGGAGGCAGCATAATTAGGCTTGATCCAAGGAAATAGAGTTACTAGCCATAATGAATACTAGCACAATAGAATCATACAGACAGTAACTCTTTGTAGTAAAAGTCTTGTTCATGAGTTTGGAATGAACAACCACGTTTGAGATGCGAGAAGTAGAACACTGCAGGCTTGGTGAAATGATGAACATCATAGGGCTGATGCGTGCAGACATGAACATCATAGGGCTGATGTGTGTAGAAATGAACATTATAGGGCCAAGGTGTGCAGAAATATTTGATGAACTTCATAGGGCTGGTGTGTGCAGAAATAAACATCATAAGGCTGATGTGTGCAGCAATGAACAAAGGGCTGATGTGTGCAGAAATGAACATCATAGGGCTGATGTGTGTAGAAATGAACATCATAGGGCTGAGGTGTGCTGATAGGCACACATCAGCTACTACAAACCCCACAGTACTCCTGGTTGTAGCACCAATGTTCAAATATATTAAAATATTAAGGGAACTAAAGCTACATACAATATAATATTTATACACCATATAAAATAGTAGATAAATTTGGCTTTCCTTCAGGTCGTCATTTTTTGTGAAACATGAATCCCCTCATATTGTGCCAATTTTAGAAAATATTTGCGAGAAATTCATAAGGATGTACACTAATATTGCATTCTTATGTTTTTGCATTTTGTCTCATTCTTATTCACTTGTTTTTTAATAAAACATTGTAATGTTTTATTATTAAGAATGATTCATTTTACTGAAATGTTTTCGACTATTGTACTCTTAATTTTTTATCCTGTATTACTATATAAATAATATCTTTAAAGCTCTGTGCAGTACAAGAATGATAAATGCATAAGTACTGATTTGATTTGTGATTGTGCTCGATACTGTGCGGTACTTGTGAAATGTCCATCAAGATGACAAGCTTCTTCTGATGATATGGACTTATGTTAATGTCTTGTAATTATTCATACTTATCTTATTCATTAATATAAAACTCATTACAGTACATGTGCAGTATTGTAAAAGATTTTCATGCATGAATATTTTAAAAGAATAATGAATTATAAATTTCAAGTGGCAAGAAATACATTTCCAATTGTTTATCTATCAGTGTTGGTACTGGACTGTATGTATGATTTATCTATCAGTATGTTGGTATTGGACTGTGTGTATGATTTATCTATCAGTATGTTGATATAGTGGACTGTTTGTATGATTTATTGATCAGTATGTTGGTACTGGATTGTGTGTATGATATTACACTGTATGTATGATTTATCTATCAGTATATTGGTATAGTGGACTGTTTGCAAGAATATGATGTATACTGTACTGCACGTTCTTACAGTACATTACCTAAGTACATGTTGGTAGGTAAGACACATGCAACAGTTAGGCAACTTTATTTCGAAACGTTTCGCCTACACAGTAGGCTTCTTCAGTCGAATACAGAAAGAAGGCAGGAACAGTAGAGATGTGAAGATGATGTAATCAGTCCATCACCCTTGAAGTCGTAGAATTTGAGGTTGTCAGTCCCTCAGCCTGGAGAAGTTCAGTTCCATAGTCAGATAGTTCCTGACTATGGAACTGTTGCATATGTGTCTTACCTACCAACCTGTCGGTATTGTATACCATTTTGATGTTCACCTAAGTACATAAACAGTATTTCATCATAGTAACAGTTTGTTGTGCAGCTTTGCTCCATGTACCACCGTCGATGATGTAATGATTTTTTTATTTCTTTATGCACTACAGATATTTTAATTTACATGTAATAAAACATTAATAGGCACAAAAATAAAGTCACTGATTATGCCTTTACTCATCACAAGTAAAAAAATAAGTCAGCACAGTATTTCAGATGATGTAACATAGTGCTCTTAACTTATTTTCTTGTTTGAGTTGCAATAGTGACATCATTATTAGAATGGAGAGTTAAGGCTAATTTGTTGTATTATTTAGTGTTTAAATGGTGTGTGTGTGTGTATATATATATATGTAATATATATATATTATATATATATATAATATATATATATATAATATAATATATATATATATATATATAAATAATATATATTATATATATATATATATATATTCATATAGTCGGACTTGAGTCCTGGAAATGGGAAGTACAATGCCTGCACTTTAAAGGAGGGGTTTGGGATATTGGCAGTTTGGAGGGATATGTTGTGTATCTTTATATGTGTATGCTTCTAGACTGTTGTATTCTGAGCACCTCTGCAAAAACAGTGATAATGTGCGAGTGTGGTGAAAGTGTTGAATGATGATGAAAGTATTTTCTTTTTGGGGATTTTCTTTCTTTTTTGGGTCACCCTGCCTCGGTGGGAGACGGCCGACTTGTTGAAAAAAAAAATATATATATATATATATATATCTATCTTCTTCTTTCAACAAACTGGCCATATCCCACTGAGGCAGGGTGACCCAAAAAGAAAAACAAAAGTTTCTCTTTTCAAATTTAGTAATTTTAGTCGCCTCTTACAACACGTATGGCTTACGGAGGAAGAATTCTGTTCCACTTCCCCATGGAGATAAGACGAAATAAATGACGAAATAAACAAGAACAAGAACTAGAAAGAAAATAGAAGAAAACCCAGAGGGGTGTGTATATATATGCTTGTACATGTATGTGTAGTGTGACCTAAGTGTAAGTAGAAGTAGCAAGACATACCTGAAATCTTGCATGTTTATGAGACAGACAAAAGACACCAGCAATCCTACCATCATGTAAAACAAATGCAGGCTTCCGTTTTACACTCACTTGGCAGGACAGTAGTACCTCCCTGGGCGGTTGCTGTCTACCAACCTACTACCTAAATGCATGTTGTAAGAGGCGACTAAAATGCTGGGAGCAAGGGGCTAGTAACCCCTTCTCCTGTATAAATTACTAAATTTAAAAAGAGAAACTTTCGTTTTTCTTTTTGGGCCACCCTGCCTTGGTGGGATACGGCCGGTTTGTTGAAACAAGAAAGAAAGATATATACATTTGATAAGTAGGCCAAATTACTCTTTCTGTTATAAATTTCCTGATGGCAAAAGCTTTTTTTAAATTTCGTGTTTAAGAAAGGTTTAACTTTTATTCACTGTTGTAATGTTCTATAAAGATTTTATTTTGTAATTTTTTAGGTATTAGAATGCCTTTCTGAAGACAGCACAGTGTTATGTAATACTTGGTGCCACGTTTATCAACCTCTACAGTTTTGCATGGCCACAATTTTTTATTGATAGCATCAGATGTTGGCATTTATATACATATACATTTTATAGATTTTTGGCCACCATAAAAGTTTCTTTTGAGCTTTTTTTTTTTGTACTGTACCATATTAAAAAATGTCCAAGAGAGCATGTTACTTTCATTACATGTACTATCATATGTGATAAGAATAAATTGTTGTACTGTACTACTCTCCTATGTATTATTTCATCTTTTTCATTAGTTAGAGTAAAGTGGTGTACAGGGGTACATTAGAGCCCAGTGGTAATAATAAGATTTATTTCTAAGTGGTAATAATAATTTTTATTTCAAAGTGGTAATAATTGAAAATGTATAAACTAAGGGAGGAGGAAGTTCGGGTGAGATATAAGCAACTATTGATGGAAAGGTGGGCTGGTGCAAGTATGAGTAGTGGGGGGGTTGAAGAGGGTTGGAATAGTTTCAAAAATGCAGTATTAGAATGTGGGGCAGAAGTTTGTGGTTATAGGAGGGTTCGTGCAGGAGGAAAGAGAGTGATTGGCAGAATGATGAAGTAAAGGGTGTGATAAAAGAAAAAAAGGTAGCTTATGAGAGGTATTTACAAAGCAGAAGTGTTACAAGAAGAGCAGAGTATATGGAGAGTAAAAGAAAGGTGAAGAGAGTGGATGATAGAGTGGGAGAGGTACTGTCAAGAAATTTTAATGAAAATAAGAAAAAATTTTGGAGTTAAACAAGTTAAGAAAGCCAAGGGAACAAATGGATTTGTCAGTTAAAAGCAGAGTGGGGAAGTTAGTAGATGGGGAGATGGAGGTTTTGGGTAGATGGCAAGAATATTTTGAGGAACTTTTAAATGTTGAGGAAGAAAGGGAAGCAGTAATTTCATGCACTGGCCAGGGAGGTATACCATCTTTTAGGAGTGAAGAAGAACAAGATGTGAGTGTGGGGGAGGTGCGTGAGGCATTACATAGAACGAAAGGGGGTAAAGCAGCTGGAACTGACGGGATCATGACAGAAATGTTAAAAGCAGGGGGGGATATAGTGTTGGAGTGGTTGGTATTTTTGTTTAATAAATGTATGAAAGAGGGGAAGGTACCTAGCTAGGGATTGGCGGAGAGCATGTATAGTCCCTTTATATAAAGGGAAGGGGGGCAAGAGAGATTGTAAAAATTATAGAGGAATAAGCTTACTGAGTATACCAGGAAAAGTGTATGGTAGGGTTATTATTGAAAGAAATAGAGGTAAGACAGAATGTAGGATTGTGGATGAGCAAAGAGGTTTCAGAGTGGGTAGGGGATGTGTGGATCAAGTGTTTACATTGAAGAATATATGTGAACAGTATTTAGATAAAGGTAGGGAAGTT